AACATGTAAAACAAATGTTTATCAATAGAGGTGAAAACATTCTACTCACCAGAGGTGTATTTAGATTTCTTTTAGTTTGATTTGGGTGTGGTAACTCTCTATGTTAATCACATGATATGAGGGGAATATCTATAAATAGTTAAGAAATGCGTTTGGTTTTTTGAGTTCCAACACAACGTGGTGAAAAAGTACCATGTGGTAACCCATTGGTGTTGTTGTCGTAAGTACTGAGGTGAATTAGTAGTACATGATTATGGCAAATAGATGTCGCCCCGTAAGGTGAATTAGTTCTCATCGTAGCCAAACACTATATATCCATTACTTTCAACGAAACACAGATGCCACCTCGTTGGATGTGAAACTCACCACATTTCAAGGAAATAAAAATTAAAGATACGGGTTCCCATTCATTCGAAATGTCATATCTTGAACATCACAAGTTGACTTTTTTGGCAATAGCACTATGGAGTCAAATTATAATTCCATAACTCGAAGTCCCCATAAGTTGAAGTTTTTTTCGGGGGGTCTGAGTTATGGAAGTTCGACTACATATAGAAATATATTTGGTTATACAGTAGATATCGGATATAAGCACATCTCATATAAGAAAAAATCGCATATAAGAAATATTATCAAAAACACCGAGCTTATACTTCCTTTATCCGATAATTCCATATAAGAACAAAACGCATATAAGAAAGAAATCTCCGGCTTTTTTGAGTTTCTTATATCCGATATCTAGTGTAAATAGTCATTAAGCCTTATTCGGATTTTATTCAAATATGAGGCAAATTTGTGTTAATTTCTTGGATTTTACAAACGTGTTAATTTGTCCCACTGCGGATCATTTTAGAAGTATGAATTCAATGGAAGAAATATCTACCCGAAATTTCACTATAGGTCTCCGATCAATAAAAATCTTTAGCTATGATATATTTCAATGAAAAGTTAGCATAAAATTTGATAGAAACAGTTCTGGGTCGATTTTGTGTTTTTTTTTCAACAAAATCGACAAAATATCCCACTGTGGTCCATTTTAGGCGGATGATGCCAATGGGGAAAATAATCTACACTAAATTTTACTAGAGGTCACTGAACAAAATAAATTTATAGCTGTGACATATATCAGAAAAATTGCAATATACATTTTAGTAGAAGATGTTTTTTTCAAATTTGTGATTTTCGCAAAAATTGACAATTTTTCCCACTGTGCAGCATTTTAGCGGGATGATGACAATGGGAGAAATAGTCTCCATTAAATTTCATTAGGGGTCACCGAACAAAAGATATTTGTAGCTATGCTCTTTACCAATATAATTTTCATATTAATTACAATATTACAAATAAAGGCAATAGATTTACTTAATTGGTTGTTATTCCAAAATAAGACCAATTTTGTCAGTTCTTCTTCATTTTAGAGGTTTGGGTTCAATGAAAAATATATTCTACGTTAAATTTCACTATAGGTCACTGGACAACAAAAATCTGTACCTATAATATATCTCAATAAAATGTGCGCTTTAAATATGCCACAAAATATTTAATATATTTGGTTAATTTTGCGCATTTCACTAATTTATGATTGTTCCTTTTCGGCCCACTGTAGAGAGATAATTTTAAAGAAGAAAATAATCTACACAAAATTCCACTAAGGGTCACCGAACAAGAAAAGACTGTAGCTTTAATATTTATATAAGAAATATTCGTGTCAAATTGGTTATTACATAAAAATGTTTTTTTTTAATTAATTGGGCAATATTTCAAAATGAGGTAAATTTTTGTATTATTCCCTAATTCTAGAGGGTTGTGATCAATGAAAGAAATATTCTACACTAAATTTCACTATAGGTCACCGACCAACGAAAATCTGTATCTTTAACTTATACACATAAAATACGAGAATAACTTTCGGTAGAAATTATTGAATTTATTTGCTACATTTTGCGTACTTCCCTAATTAGCAGATTGTCGCTTTGTGGGTTATTTTAGGAGGGCGACCCTAATGGAAGAAATAACCTACACTAAATTCTGCTGAAGGTCACCGAATAACAAAAATCTGTATCTATAATATTTATATGAGAAATATTCGTCTCAAGTTGTTGATTGCATAGAAAAACTAAAATTTTGGTTTGACTAAGTACTACTTCAGAATTAGTCAATTTGAGTATTATTTTTCTATTTTAGAGGATTCGAACCAATGAAAGAAATGTTCTACACTAAATTTCACTATGGATCACCTACCAACAAACGTCCATATCTTTAACTTATATACATAAAATATGATAATCAATTTTAGTAGAATTTTTTTGATTTACTCGATGCATTTTGCGTACTTCCAAAATTGACAGATTGCCGCTTTGTGAGTTATTTTAGGAGGGCGATCCTAATGGAAGAAATAATCTACACTAAATTCCACTAAGGGTCACCGAATAACAAAAATCTGTATCTATAATATTTATATAAGAAATATTCGTCTGAATTTGTTTATTGCGGAGAAAAACTACAACTTTGATTTAACTTAGTACTATTTCAGAATTAGCCATTTTGAGTATTATTTATACATTTTAGGAGGTCGGAATCAATGAAAGAAATATTCTACACAAAATTTCACTATGGGTCCTCATCATATAAAATCCTATATCTTTAACTTTTATGCATAAAATATGAAAATCGCTTTCGTTAGAAAATATGTAACTCATTAAGACCATTTTGCGCACATCTAAAAATTTACAATTTTTCAATTTTCTGTTCAAGTTAGAGGAATAATTTTAAGGAGAAAAATAATCTACACTAAATTCGACTAAGGGTCACCGAACAACAAAAATCTATAGGTATAATATTTATATAAGAAATATTCGTCTCAATTTGTTTATTGTGGAGAAAATCTACAACTTTGTGGTTGTTAAGTACTACTTCATAATTAGCCAATTTGAGTATTATTTACATATTTTAGAGGGTCGGAGTCAATGAGAGAAATATTCTACGCTAAATTTCACTGGGGGTCCTCACACAATAAAATCCAGTAGCTTTTATATTTATCGATAAAAATAGTAGTTCCTATTTTGCTTAAATTCATAACTTTTGTTCCTAAATACCATAGTTCATATTTCCTATTTCTTAAATCAATAAATAAATTGAATATTTATTGCCTACTTTTAGGCATTCGAATTGTTCTTGCTGTTACATCCTTTGTGTGTTTTCATTTTTCCCATATGCTTTTCAAACTATTCTGGTGTGGTGTACAAGGATAACACATGCGCGTTTTTAGTTCATGGCAAATCGGCAGCATTTAGGGCGGAAACTCTTCTATGATATACACGAATTTCACAGAGGCATTTAAGAAGTATCGAACGGTTCATACGGTCATAGACGAACAGCCAAGAAGAAAATAATCAAAAGCTCAACAAAAAAAAATTCCTATTAAAAGCAAAATTTAATTTTTTGCTTAGAAAAAAAGGCTATTAAAATTTTTTAATAAAGAAAATAATTATTTAAAAAAAGAAAGGAAAACGGAAAAAGGGAGTGGAGTGAAAAAAGGAATACAGGATAAATCCTGTGAAAAAATTTATTAAAAAATTTGGAAATTTTTAATAAAAGGTGTGTTTCGTGTGTGAATTTGTGATGAAGTTGCAAAGGAAATAAATGATGGAAATTGTTAAAAAATAAATAAATAAAAATTGTGGAATTAAAAAAGAAATTGCAAGAAATTCCTATACATGTGAAAAAAGTGTTGTGGATGCTGTAAAGGAATTTTTGATTGAGTCAAAAAAAAAATATATATATATGTAGCACTTCAACTTTAACATTAAACCAAGTACCCAAAAAAAATGCAAAAGAAATACAACAAAAAAATCGTCGATGAAGAAAAAACACAGCAACAAAATTCCCAGTTACTTTGAAACCTTAAAACGCCTAAGGTCTAGCACAACAACTCCCTGAAATTGCTGCCCCAAAGTTTTCAAGTCATTGCTGGGCGCAGAGTAATTTGAAAGACATTGCTCGGCAATAACCTTACCCAACTTTTTTCAAATTCACCAAAGTCCGTCCATTAGGGCTCTCAAGAAATTTTTTACGAAGTTTGCTCAGAGTAGAGTTTTGTGAGAGAAGTGTTTTGGCGGAGAGAGCAAGAGAGAGGTGGACTTCTCTATTTTGTTTTCAGTTCGAATGCACGTGATATTTTTTTTCTGTTGTTGTCCTGGTGAAATACCTACCGGCAAAATATTTGTTTGAATTTTTCAAACATAAACAAACACGAATTGTGTGACCGACAACGACCCTCTGTTCCGATGAACTGTGAAATTTCATATGTGTAACAGGGACATGCGCAGTGGAGGGGTTTGTTGTTGCGGAATCGGAACTGGATTTCCCTTCTGAACAGCCACCTCAAAAACATCCTCTTGACCCGGCTGGCAGGTTGGTTGGCTGACTAGCTCGTTGGCTGCTTGATTGCTTCTGGTGCCTGGCCACCCTCCCTAGCCGAAAGCCATAAAATTCTGCCTCGTCCTTCTTCTTGTTGTTGTAGAACTTTACTTAAGAAGAATTTATCAAAAATTCATGAGACTTTTTTTTCGTCGTTGTGTGTTGTATTCCAACATTGTCCTTTTAACACATTTTATCCGGCCACAGTCTAGGTGGCATATCCTGACTGGGTTATCCTGTGCATTTTTTACAAGTTATATTGAAGGAGTGTGAGAAGGGAATGGGAGGGGGTCTTAGTGTTTGTCATTGCACATCAAATATTTATTTTACCAAGATAACATAAAACAAAATCCTTTTTTGTTATCCTTTATTCAACCCCCTCCCTCTCTTTCTCTTTCTCTGGGGTCCCCATAAAACCTGTTTCAGCAAGGATACCCTTTATGTGGGTTTCATTTTTGTTCCTTTTTTGTCTTACAAGAAAAAAATTCAAAAATTCCTGGATTTCTGTCTTCATTACATCCTCTCTCTTTACTGGTTTCTCTCCCTCTCCTCTTTGCCCTGCAACCATAGGCTCTGGCCTGTTCTAGCCGCTCGAAATGTTAATACGCTGGAAAAGCAAAGATAAAAGTTCAGCGAACTCTTCAAATGCCAACAGTGGCAGTGGTGGTGGTGGAGGAGGAGGTAGCAGCAGTGGTGGCGGCGGAGGCGGCAGCAGTGCCTCCAGTGGCAGTAGTTCGAAAAAGAAACGTAAAGGACGTGAGGGCGGTAAGTACACATGGCAGGACCACCACATTAGGCAAACACGAAAGCGCAATTGAATTTTTCATTAAGCGTTTCCCGTGTTTTTGTTGTTGTTGTTGGTGCCATTCTTCTTCTACTACAACTTCTCGGGGTTTTATTCCTAATGCCTTTGTTTGTTTAACAAAAAACAAAAAACTCCGTGTCCTGTCATAATGGTGGCTGCATTACATATTGGTGGTGACGATAATAATGCTGCTGCTGCTTCTGTTCGTGCTGGTGTTTAATGGCATTTTGTCACCATTTCCTTGTTCCTCAAATCCACAACGACCCCCGGCCCACCTACAGCCTCAGATGAAAACTGGCAAAATGATATGAAATCCGGTCATATGCAAAATAGCGAACAAGGTAAATATTACCAACCAACCTCCACGACACGAAGTAAATTTTTTCTTCTATAAGGGGACTTTTAAGTAATTTTTCTTCCTCATCCTCTCGATTGTTTTTCTTCCCTCGCCCATTTTCGTGTGTGTGTACAGACAGAAGACGCAATATGCGTCGCGAAGATCCACGTCGCCATACCTTGGGTGGCGATATGCTATCCTATGTCAATCAACAAAATCAACAGCAGACTCTTAAATCCATGGACTTGGAGGTAAGTGGTACTTCTAAAAATTTTTATTTTTTTTTTATTATTTTTGGTGGGAGTTTCTCTCAAAAAAAATTTCATCTTTCTCAGTGTGAAGTGTAGCATTTCAGTGATAAATAAAACACAAAGGAAGTAAACAAAATAAATTAGAAATTCAATAGCCTCGAATAATCTGACCAATATTTGCAGTGGGTAGAATTTTTTGTTTTATTAAACTTCAGAGTGGAGGAAAGCTGAGGACGAAAGTGAAATCAATGCCCCAAAATAAAAAAAAATGTATTTATTAATGTTTAGTATTACGTCTACCCCCTAAAAGTAGGCAATCATATATTCCTTTAAAAAAATAAAATAATAAAAAATCATTGATCAGAAATGGCGGAACGTAAATTAGGCACAAATGTTCTAAATTAAATTTTTCTGTCCTTACGAACCTAATATACCCTTCACCCTCATAAAAATGTGTATGATGGAAGGAAAAATATTTTTTTTTTCAAATTCCAAACTCAACAAAATCTCTACCAAAAAAAATCCAAAATCCAAAAAAATTACAATATAATAACTGCTAACTTGACGGCAATCTAGAATATGTGCCTAAATTCATAATTATTTTAATTAATTACAAATAGCATGAGCTCCCAAATATACCCTACTTCATATTGTGGAAATTATAATAATAATGAAATATAAAAAAAGCATGCTTTCAGGAGTGAGTAAATAATAAACTAATAAAAAAATAGCATACTTTCAGGAGTGGGTACAATTTAATAAAATTTAAATTGTAGAGCAGTGAGCTCCATAATATACCCTACTTCACCTCATGGAGATTATAATAAATTCATATAAAATAGCATACTTTTAGGAGAAAACAATGTGAAATGGGTAAACTAGTTTATATATAGAATGGAGAGTTTATGGCCCTAAAACTGATATTATTTTAGATATATTTTTGGAATTTATTAGAAGCAGCCTTTAGGGTCCTGATCAGAAGGATACAAATTTTTCTTCGTACTGAAATCCTCACGAGTTCGTATAAAATTTGGTATAGGTTTTATGAATCTCTTAAACAACCTATACGAAATGTTATACGGACTGAATTGAGGATTTCCGTACAAACGTGAGGATTTCAGCACAAAGTAAACTGTATATCCTTGTAATCAGAACCCTCAGTACTGTTAAACATAGTAAATACAAAAATTATTTCTAAAATAATGTCTTTATTTGGGCTTTAAACTGTTCATACTAAATAAAACCTAGTTTTACATTTGAAATAGTTTTCTCCTAAAAGTATGCTATATTATATGAGTACATTATAGTCTCGATGCTGTGAAGTAGGTTATATTGTGGTGTTATGTATGTAGTAGGGTATATTATGGAGCTCATTCAATATGTAATTATTTCAATTAATTATCAGTTCAGACACCATATATTTTTGATCGCCGTAGAGTTTAAAGCCGATTGAGCAGCGATGTCAAACTGTAAGTTGTAATGACGCCAGGATAGAGATTTAGATTTTAGAGATTTAGAATTTAATTTTTCCTTCCAATCCACCAATCTCCAACCTCCACCATAGGGCGAAGTACATTTGAGATTTAAATTCCGCCATTATGGGCTCTTCTAAATGAAAATCGTCATTGAAGAAATTTTTTTGTCGCCCTGCATAATCGAAAGGGCTGTAATCTTTACACATAATATCTATAAAGCTTTTCCCCACAATTTTGTATATACCTCTTATAGGTAATATAAATAGATATACATCCCCCCACAATAGATATACCTCTTAAAGGTAATATAAAATTCCCATACTCTCCTCATTAATTTCATGTTTCGCCTTCGCTTACTTATATTTATATTTATAAAACTTCGGCATACTTCAAACAGCTCCCTAAAGATATGCAACAGTTTTATAAATTATTTTGCGGAATATCCCTTTACCCCGTAAAATATGCAATGATAGGTTAAATAAAATAATGTGTGAACGCCTTAACCCTTTCAGTGTCAAAAAAAAATTTTTGTCGGAATAAAAATCTAAAATCTAAAAAATAAATCATAAAAAGGCATAGAGTTTAGGCATACTCTGGTCTCCTTCATTTCGATCATATTTGATATTTCATGAGAAAAATATAGAGTAGGATAATAGTTAGATAGACTTCACCTATGAAGTTATCCGATATGGCTGTAGGTCATTCATTACCTTCGACCTTGCAAATTGTCAGAATTTAAAAAAAATCTACAATTATATATTTTTGCCTAAAATATTCCCCCAAAAATATATTTTTGAAAATGAAAAATCTCAACTTTCGGAATAGAGAGCTACGCAACAAAATACCAATCCTCGAATGAGGTTCAACCTCCAAGCAACTTCAGGGCAGGATGACGTTTATGATCTCTATGAACCTTACCAGCACTTAAAGCCATACGATAGATTTGTATTGGAAACCTTCTAAATATTTGCCATTTACTTAGGGATCGGCAGAAAAGGGTTTCCCTTTAAAAAGAATTATGTGACCCCTCAAGCTGAAAAAAATATTTTTTGAGGATACCGGTTGTAGTAGAGGGACAGGTCTGGGAAGGATTGTAGTACCCATAAAATGACAATTTTAGGTTGAAGATTTCCGTAGCTAATTTTTAAACAATTCTTGTTCACATCCCAACAATCCTCTATATCACTATAAAATATTAATCCCCTTCTCTCTTTCAGATGAACACACGCATGCAGAAAAGTAAAAAGGTAGGTTCACATGCCATCTTCAAAATCTCAAATTTACTAAATTAATGATTTTGTTGTTTTGCTTTGCAGGCCCAACCCTTTCGCGGCTACACACCCATCAATCAAGGACCCCTGTTCGATGATGATCCCGGTATTATGTCTGAGGTGGAAACGGCCAGTACTGGGTTTAGACGTGGCGGTAAGCAACGTTCTTCGTTACCCGTTGTGCGTACACCTTCGAAAACCTTAGAAAGACCTCTAGGTATGGTGTCACACATAGCCTACCTAAATGCAGTTTCCGACAGTCAAACTGACAACGTCTACTTATCTCTCTCCTTACTCTCTTTTCGTTTTTGGATCCATTTGGCCGGCATTTTTAGGTTTGGTATTTTTACAATATCGTTCGGAAACAAAAATGGCAGTGCTGCCTAATGAAATCACCTCAATTGATACGGTGAGGGCGCTATTTGTTCGATCCTTTCCCCGCCAATTGACAATGGCCTATTTGGAGGGGCCAAATGTGAAGATATATATCCATGATGCCAGCAAGGATATGTTCTATGAACTGGAGGATGTCCGCTCGCATTTGCGGGAAATACGAGATCGTTCAGTTTTACGCTTGTTCGAATCGACTGAGGTGGCAGCACCGCCACAAATGTTGCCAGGTGGTCCAGGGATACCACAGCCACTGCCACAACCAAATCCACCACATTGGGATCAGGATCAGGTAAGTATTAAAACACTTTTACTTCGGAATATTATATCTAATATTTTTCCTTTCTTTTTTGCCGTCCTTAGAGTTACTTCAGCGAACCGGAATTCGATTCGGAATATAAAAACCAACACATACACAAATCCAAGGTAAGTCACCATTATTTTTTTTATAAAAAATTTCTTTATTTAAAAAAAAAAAAATAATAATTATTAAATAATATAAAAGTGTATATAAAAATAATTGCATTTCTTGTGGTGGACCCCGAGTCATTTGTTCCGCTTCTTTTTTCTTTTAATAATTTTGACCTTCGTTAACCTGACTAGTGGCTAAAAAAAAACTCCCTCCTCCGCATGAGATTAACTAATTCTTAAAATCTAATTCCTAAAAATTGCCACATCGTCCCACACTGTAACCCTGCAGGGCATTATTCAAATGTTCTCGGGCATTTTTCCATGCGAAAACAATGGCACCCTGGAATGGTTCCATATCACAGGCACCACACAAAGCCATAACGGCCTTCACCTCTTCCTCGGCTGGTTCACGATCATGTTCGGAAATTTCATCTTCCACATTCATAATTCCACTTAAATCCTCCTTAAACTGTTGGCCACCAAATTCCGCAAGACCGTCATATTTCAAAGCACCAGGGCCGCGTATCAAGGGATCATCTACAATACTACCATCATCCAAAAATACTAGGCCACGTTTTTGTAGATTTTTATCCTTGCCGGCGGATTTTTGGCCGGTCATATCCCTTTTGAAGAGAATGTGGGTTTCTGTTTCATCCACAAATTTCACCTTGCCTGGATTATTGGGATCAATAATGGCCTGACGATTTACTGTTTGTGCGGCGTGTGGTCCATATTTCTGATTCAGGCCAATCAGCTGCTGAGCCACCAATCGCGATCCGGCATTTATTTGTCCATTTATGAAATTCGTGTGAATTGTCAAGGCCTGTTCGGCAGCCGTTGTAGGATTCGGTAGAATATCATTACCAGCCACTGCCGCCTGGGGTTGAGCCAGATTTATACGCACCCTTGTCGGTATCTGACCATTGGCCAATAAGGTATGCATGGGCTGAGGGCGATTGATCTGAAAGAATTCAAAAATATAAAAAAATCTATATCTTCTATAAAGATTTCTAGTTCCAAAATCTTACCACTGGTGGTGCCTTTGTCGTCGGATGTATTTCCTTGCCCTCATGATCGAAATGATGGGCATGATGATGTTTATGATCCCTATGGGCCTTACCAGCACTCAAAGCCACACGATAGATTTGTATCAGCGTTACCTCGAAATGTAAGCCTTCGGAGATTTTACCTGTCACTGAGGGACCACCAGAATATAGTTTGCCTTTGGGTGGAATTTTGTGACCAACAAGCTGAAAAAAATAATTAAAAAATAGTAAAATTAAATTAGAATTTCATAACCCTCGGGAAAGATGTCCTACAATGCGTTACAAGACCTCCTGGTAGCATTAATTTAAAATTATAATTTCTAAGACACCCTGTCTGAACAAATTCATCCTATATTTATATCTGAAGTTACCCTGTCTTATAACATAACACTAAAGCTTCGATATCCTCAAAATATTCCTTTATATAGTAGACCTCCTATATTCAGAATTTGTATAAATATTTCTGGAAAAAAAAATATTTTCTGAGACATCCTGTTCTACTAATGTACCCAGGAAGCTTTATTATTCTATTTAAACTTTAGAGACGCCCTGTGATTAAAAAATATTCATTGAAACTCCAATCTTCTCAACCAGTTTCATTATGAAGAAGATACCCTGATTCTAGAATTATCATAAATATTTCTTTGGAAAATATCGATTGCTAGGGACCCCTGTAATGTGCTCCCATTGTGGAATAAGAAATACACAGGGTATTCATTTTCCTACATACACACAGGGTATTCATTTTCCTATGTTTTGTTATTTCAGAAATACCCTGTTCCAACAAATGTTCCCATAAATGCCCTACTATACAAACTCCGATGACAAAATTAGGGAATGGCATCTGCCTAATTAAAAGTCTTCATTTTGATAAAATATCACTTTAAACGATCTCCATCTGAATGAAGATCTCTACGATTGTCGTCTATTGTTTACTGAGGTCTTCTGTGGAACAGATTACGACTTTAAGGACCAAACACTACCTTCGAAGTATAATGTACCTTCGGAAACTTTCACAGAAGAGTTGTGTGTAATCTACAATCTCCACGAAGTTCTCATATCTTGTTGAAAACATCTACGAAGTTCCCTAAAAATATAACAGGGCTCTTGGAATTAGAAAATATACTCTTTCCCTAGAATAACTTTGAGAAGTCGTTCTCAATTATGTCTACGATTTCTTCGGAGGCCAACTATCGACCGCCTACCTCTACGAAAGCCTTTTGATCCTTTCAATAATATCAAAACATCTATCGCAGCCTTGTACGCTATCAATAACTATGTGAAAGCCTTCATTCCTATTCTATTCTATCCTGAAATCTATCTCTTGAATACGAAAAAGATCTAAAATAGATTTTCATTTTAAGGAAGTCCTCAAAATATCCCTATTAATCCATAGAAATTCTCTACAAGGGATTTATAGCCCAAAGAAAAATGTTATGAGAGTTTAGAAGTCAAAAAAATTTTCTGCGTAGTTTATTTAATAATAATAGATCATGTAGCAAGAATTCTCACTGTATAGCTCTATGAAGTTCCTATAGAAAGCCATGTGAATACTCTCATTCTAGAAAATATGTCTAAGGGACTTTCAGGCCGAGGGGATTCGTTAAATGAATACGATTCCTAAAAAAATTCTTTATGGGATCCCTTATTATAGAATTTTCATACCGTATGCTTGGGACACATTAAGGAAATCCTCCTGGGGTTGCCCTATTCTCCGGGAAGACCTGTACAGCAGTCTGCCATGGTTTAGAACAACTTTGAAAATGTCTTCTATGCCTGAAAAATTCCCTATGAAGTGCGAATATCCTATTTCAGACGTCTATTCATTATATCCTTACATGCCGTTTTTTATTTTTTAAATTATTATCTATGGAAGATATTTATTGCTTAAATTGTCGACTCCCCCATATGCACCCTATTTCAAAACAAACATGCTCACCAAGGCGTATCTACACCATGTGGATCGAGCAACATTTACATTATTGAATAAGTTTAGCCACAAACCACAGTAAAACGATATGTAGATGTCATTTAAGAGCTTTTTGGTTTTTACTATGTAATATTTTCTATAGTCTTCTATAAATAGGTAGCTCGAACCTTAGCATGGAAGAATATTATTTTTGGAAATAAAAATTGTAATTTGTTCCCCCTTATATATATTCCCTATTTATGAACTGGTTATTTTTCTTTTTCCGTAATAGTACTTAGGTTTTTTATCATAGCTATAAATCTCTTTAGCTTCACATGTGTTATCGTACTTGAACTACATTTAATCTCTGACGAGTTTTTGTCATAAATCCCCCTTCCATTCCGGTGAAAGGTTATTTAATTTTTTTTTTTTTGCTCATAAACCATTTAATTCCTGACATATCAGATCTATGATTGTAATTGATTACCCGACGCAAATGATTAATCAAATTAAATTAAAATGAAATTGAATAAATGAATGAAAAAACACAGACAAATAAAACTTACGGAATTGTGAAAACCTCGCCCAATACGTTCGGCTTTTAGCCAGACCTGCCATTCACCAGTTTTGCCATTCCATGATGTGCAAGTGTGATGCCACTGACGGACCCGCAATGGATAGTTGAGTCTAAATAATAAAAAACAGATAAAAATGTTAACAATAATAAAAAAATTAAGAATAAAAAATAACAACAACTACAAAAACATTAAAAATAACAACATAATGAATTGAACATTGAACACAATTTATTCCAACATCTTTAGAAATTATCGAATGATTGATTGAATTACTTTTTGTTTTCGTGTGTGAAATGATTGAAGGATTTATGGGAATATTTTTTTTGTGAAAATAAATTACAAACTAATGAAATTATTTAATAACAAAATTGTTTTTGTACATACCTGTATACCTGCTGATCTTTTATGGCCATCGATATAAAGCTGGAATTTTTGGCATTGGCTACCCAGAATTGAAAATCACGATGGCCGTCTTCGGCTAAATTAGAAAACAACAAAGCAAAAAATTAAAAAAAAATTAAATTATGGAAGATGAGTATGTGAGATCTATAGAAGATCTCATATATCAAAAAATAAACTGAAACCTTGAACCAATAAAAAGAGTAGCATATTTTAGGGAGACACTTTAAGGGGACTTTCTAAGTAATCTTTAGGTGATTTTTTTTAATAAATTATGAAAAAATTGAATTTAATTTTATTTTTATTCAGATTTTTATCGAAAATAATTTATTACTATTCTTGTGGATGTCCCTAATACACCCTATTTCAAATAAAACACGCTCTAAAAGCCGTATCTACATTATGCTGATGATTGTTAATTAACAACTATCGGGATAAGTGATAAGCGTAGACCCAAACCACAGCAAAACGACATGTTGTTGTAGCAGTTAGTACTGCTGTGTATTTTAAATTTTCTTTAATCTGATTCTGCCTCTAACTCCAAATTCAGAAAGGCTGCGACCTGTACTGGTTGAGTCCAGAGAGAAGATGGGGTTAGGTGAGTGGGTTTGGCTGGGCAGTTGAACAGATGTAGCGTGTCATGTGGTCCGTTACCACATGCCGGGCAGACATTGTCGACCCCTCCATCAATTCGAGCCCAATACGAATTGAGGCGGCTACACCATCCAGATCTCAGTTGTGCCAAGACCACTCTAGTTTGTCGAGGTAGCTGCTGCTCTAGATCTAGAGGCTCCCTTTTGTACCTTTGGACCTCTCTCTCCAGATCATGGAGATCCTTCCTGACATGCCTGGGTGGTGGGTGCCTATCCATTAGGTAGCGGTTCGGATGGCTGCTCCTATAACACCCAAGCAGGTATTACATCGACAACATCTTGTTGTGTTGACGCACAGGAAGGATCTTCGTCTCCTCATGCAAGTGGTCTATTGGAGTCATGAGGAGACACCCTTTTGCAGTCCTCAAGGCGGTATTCTGGCAGGATTGAAGATTTTTCCACTGCGTTGCACTGACGTTAGCGGACCACACTGGCGCCGCATAGTTTACCACAGACCGGCCTATTGCTATATGAGTCATTAACAAGGTTTCCTTGTCAGCTCTCCAATTGCCGCCGGCTAGCGAATTGAAAACATTGTTTCTGCTCCTGACTTTATCGCAAATAGCTGTGGCATGCGCGGACGACTTGAATAGGCTATCGAATGTGACCCCTAAAGCCTTGGGGTAATTAGTGGTCGGAATTGTGGACCCCTCGACCTGCACATACAAAGATAGCCTCATCTCCGTTGTCCATGTGGTAAACAGTGTGGCCGTTGACTTAGTGGCGGATATTTTCATATTCCTCGACCGGAAAAAATCAGCGACATCCACGCCTCTCGCAAATGTCATCAATTTTAGGTCCTGACGCCATAATCGTGCAATCATCCGCATATGTTACGATCTTTATGCCGTCCGGTGGGCGTGGAATATCAGAGAGGTAGAGGTTAAACAGTTCAGGAGATATCACCCCTCCTTGGGGAACTCCCTGTTTAACTCTACGGGCCTTCGATTTCCTGTCTCTGAATTCCACGTACGACTGGCGTCCACACATATAGTTTACGATCCAACGTTTCAAACTTGGCCGGAGGATTGTTCTCTCGATGTCCTCGAACAGCTTGGCGTGACTGACGGTATCAAATGCCTTTGATAGGTCTAGCGACACCATGACTGTCCTGTTACACGACCTGTTCTGGTGCAAAACGACATGTAGGTGTCGTTACTTGACTAAGCTATTCCTGAGTAAAACAGATTGAAGGATGATCAATTCTATAACTAGTGTCTCTTGTAAATATTACATCTCCCATTATAAGTCATATATAAATCTATAGAATACCTCATGTATCAAAAAAATAAACTTAAATCCTGTAATAATAGGGAATATTGTAAATAACTTTTAGGCCAACGTTTAAGAATAAATCGTGGAAGAATTAAATTTAATAATTTTATTTTTATTTCGATTTTTTATCGAAAATATTTTATTGCTATTCTTGTGGATGTCCCTAATACACTCTATTTCAAAAGTCGTATCTACATCATGTTGGTCATTGTTAATTGCCAACTATCGGGCAAAATGTTAATTGTAGACCCAAACCACAAAGCAAAATGACATGTTGGTGTCGTTATTTGGCTATGATATTATAACTATAACTGGTGTTTCTTGTAAATATTAAATCTCCCAATATAAGCCATCTATAGATCTGTAGAATAAAATAAAATCCTGATCTATTAAAAAGAGTGGCATAGTTTTAGAAGGGAAAATCGGGAAATGATTGAATTTAATAATTTTAGTTCCATTTAGATTTGTATCGAAAATACACCCTATTTCAAATAAAATATAATCCAAAAGCCGTATCTACATTATGTTGACCATTGTTAATTGCCAACTATCGGACAAAATGATAAGCGTAGACCCAAACCACAAAGCAAAACGACATATAGGTGTCATTACTATTACGAATATATCATAGCTTAGAACAAGGTGGACTATATGACGACTACACAATTACCATTTGACGAAAGTATATCTGTACACAAAATAAATCAAAAAAAACAGATTGGCTGAACAAAAAATAAATAAAATCCGGCTTCATCCTACTTATGGTTTATATATAGGAACATATGCGGAATTCTAACCTATAGATTTCAGAAAATGTATACAGCTCCTTTTCGGAAAATTTCACAGAAGAGTTTTTGTGTTATCAAAAACCTTCAAGAAGGTCTTATATCTCCTTCAAGACATCTAAGAAGTTCCCTAAAATATAACAAGGCTCTTGGACCTAGAAAATATACTCTAACTTTACAAGGGCTTGCTATTAGACACAAATTCCTGAAAAGACATTCTCAATTATATCTACGATTTCTTCGGAGGCCAACTATCGTCCACCTACCTCTACGAAAGGCTTTTGATCCTTTCAATAATACCGAACACATCTATTGACGCCTTGTACGCTATCAAAAACTTTGTGAAATCCTTCATTCCTATATTTTATCCTGAAATATATCTCTAGAATACGGAAAAGATCTAAAATAGGTTTTCATTTTAAGGAAGTCCTCAAAATATTCCTATTAATCCAAAGAATTTCACTGAAAGGGATTTATAGCCCAAAGAAGAAAGTCATGAAGGTTTAGAAGTCTATAAAAATGATTCTCACCATATATCTCTATGAGGGTCCATACTACTTATGGCTTATATATAGATATATATGCTGATTTCTAACCTATAGATTTCAGAAAATCTATATAGCTCCTTTTATTTGTTGAGAACCCTTAGAATGATGTCATTTAATTAAAGACCTATAAACGACCTTTTTTAATTATTTAATTTAGGAATCTTTTAACCTCTCGAAAAACTGACTCTCAATTAAATTAATTCTCTTTAACTTTCAAAAACAAAAAGGGTTATGCGATAACAATACAGCATGAATTACATAAACAATAACAAAAAATTTCGAATCTGGGCCAACTTTAACAGTAAATAAGGCAATTAATCACAAAACAATTGCCGTAATGATACCCATTGTCTTTCATGACGGACCGACCGACCGAACAACCCACTAATCAACCGGCATCACATATTAGCTAAAACATTATGCTACGGATTACATTCGAAATTAAGTGTAATTTCAAAATAATCATGTGCGGATGATTATAAGTCGTAAAAAAGACGTTACATTTGCATTAGCTAAAGAAATCTCATTGCTGCGGAATTTTTGTTGCTCATAATTATATGAGATTATGTGTGTGGATCTTACAAACATACATACATAATTATTATATAACCAATTCAAATCAAATTTGATTTATTCCACCAAAGTTGAAAGTAATTGATTTCGATACTCAACATAAAAATCAAATTTAATTTCCGAATTTACTGAGGATTATTTGCAAAATAACAAAAAATTGAAGTTATTTTGCAATTCGGATTTTCAGATTGCAAGACCCTGTAGCATACTATAGATGTTTACGGATTTGAAATATGTCCGAAGGTTTTTTGGCATTTTAATCAAAGCTATGAGACCTCTTAAATGCCTTCTATAATTCTCCATAACAAGGCCAATATTTTCTACTGTGGCCATTATACTAATTCATAAGTTTAAGAATTTAAGTTCATTCCTCCAGTTTTCAGTCAAATTCTAGTCGTTAAGGTATAATTTGTTTCCCCACAACGCCATCTATTGGTACATTATGTAATTAATTACCAGAATTTTATAATCTTTTACGGCAAGATGTTACAAGCTAACATTTCAGAGATGTAGCTCGATGTGATACCTAATTTAATCATAAATTCTGTCACATCAATCACAGATGCCCATCAAATATGTAGGAGTTGAAACGACATCTATAGGGGAATATTTTAGTACAACTAATAGCAAAGACAATCACCCCTACTAACGTCGGTAGATGTCTCTTCTACATGAGTCACAAAAATGCTGAATTTTTATTAAGAAACATATATATGCGGCATTGTTAATAATATGTTTTAGGTTTCCTCAGTAAAAATGCTTTTTGACCGCAGTAATTCTGATTCAGAAACAGGCTTCAACAAAGAAGGCTGTGATGGACATGTATCGCGAGTTGGCTTCATATCTGAGACCAAAGGCTGCAGACAAAAGTGGTGAGGCTATGTTTCCATATTCCGAGTTCGATGAATCTGTCACCCATTTGATTTTTCCAGCGTCAAGGAATGTGACAAACAATTTAGGTTATAGTTTGTTGAGGGCGGCTTAGTATGTGGTTCAAGCACAGAAGTTCATAAGATATCGATGATTAGAAACGACTCCTATGGCTTCATACTAAGCCAAAAGGCTGCAGATGTGGTAAGGCTTTTACGAGCTGGACGAATCGGCCACCGATTTGGATCCGGCATCAAGAAAAGCCACATTGAGGAAGGATTAGTATCAGTTTCAAAAGATGTAAAAGACGTTCCGGTAAGACGTTCGGATAATATCGACCACAGAAGTCCATAAGATATTGATGTGTAGAAACGA